GGCTGTCACAAAACCCTGCCGTGAGGCTCTCCGTCCCCATGGAGCTGTGCCTTGCCGGCGGTTTTGTGAGCAGAAAAGCATTAATGAACTCACCTGCCCTCGCCGTACTTACCGCTCGCAGAGTCACCAGCAGGTTGGTGTAGGAGAAGAGAATCAGGCTGAGGGGCATCATGAAGCAGGTGACGAACAAGGCCAAGATGTAGCTGTTGTTGTCGCTGCCACCAGTGTACCAGTTGGGCCCGCAGGACGTCCTCAGACCTGGAGCAAAGAAGTTTTGAAACAAGCCTAAACCCATCCTGGGCTTGGATGGAGGCTCGGTAGCAGGCTCCAAACCAGCAAATGCCAGCGCTGCCACCTCTTAGCGACGCTGCCCGGGCACCTCTCACTTCTCCAGCCCCGATGACCCGGAGATCAGCCCCCGCAGTTTTCAGTAGGAGGGTGATTTGCTGTGGTGTGCAGCGTTGTACCACACCTCACCAGCAGATCTCGGGTGGGTGTGTGCTGGGTACTGCCCAATGCAGCAGCTGGAGCAGCACGTGGCTCTGATGTCCATCAGACCTTTAAGAATGGCTGCAGCGTGTCGTGCAGCGGGTAACTTCTGACTAAGTGGGAGGTGTCAACATTTTAAATACGAGAATAGACACTTCTGACTATCTCATGCTTGAAAACGATATGCAAGAAGCAGCCGTGGAGTTGAGCTCACGTCTGAAGCACATCTCCCCTACCTTCAGGCACGTAGCTGCTCCAGCCCAGGAGCGGTGGGGTCGTCCAGAGCAGTGACCAGCTCCACGTGAAGGCGCAGCCGGTGACGGCGTGCCGGTGCTGGAACCGAAAGTCTCCCAGGGGTCTGCAGACCACAATGTACCGCTCGAAGGCCAGGATGGCCAGGGACCACAGCCCCACGATGCCTGGGGAGAGGAGGAGGGTTTGTGTCCTGGGAATGGGCTCTGCCACCGCTCTGCTGCCTGTGCTGGGACATGGCAGATGGTGATCACGAGCTGCTCAAGTAAATATTGTTGTAACAAGACATCAGATGTTTTTCTTATGGCAGGGAGATCTGTGAGGATATTTGGCCCCTAAAAACGTAGCTGGCAGCTGGGCATCTGTGACATGTCGTGGTTATGACCACTGTATCTCCACTGGAGTGTCCTCCACAAAGGGGTTTGTGCAGTGTTTCACGGTTCTGGTGCTCACACGTACTTGTGTGTGCTCACATGGCAGCCAGCATCCGCAAGGCACATCCCGAGCGAGGACTCCCCTTGTGCCCAAGTGACATTTCCCTCCCTGTGAAGACCAAGACAGAGCGTGTGGTGACCTGGCACAGCCAAACACCTACTTGACCCTCCCCTGCACTAAAGAATAGCTGAAGGGCACGAGTTTTGAAGCTTTGCCTTTAGGAGAAGCAGCAAACTGATGAAACTTCCCCCAAAGCATCTTTGCTAAACGCAGTGACACCAAGCAAAGACCAAGACAGGTCTCGAGGCTGGTGTCCTTACCTGTCAGGGAGACCATGAAGCCCTCCAGCTCGCACATCCGTTTGCCGAACACAAAGAAGCCATTGATGTTGTTGGAGAAGCTGACGGAGCTGCCGCAGAGCGTCACCAGCAGGTTGGCCACGGCCAGGTTCACCAGGATGTAGTTCAGGGGCGACCGGAGCTTCTTGTACCTGATGGAAACCACAATGACCAAGCCGTTCACAACCGAGGCTGACACCACAACCATGCCCATCAGCACGGCCACTGACAGGTACATGCCCCGTGGAGCCTGGTGGGGCCACTGGGGCCCATCGAAAGGCCCCGGGGTCCCATTATCTGGGGGCTCCTGCGAGCTGTTGGAGGAGTACATGGGTCTCCTGGTGCACCAGCACCAGTGGAGCTGATGCAGGTGACTCTCCCCAAAAGCAAAACCTCTTTATAAAGCAGGAGGGCCTGACGTGCCCCAGAGGAGATTTGTGCTAAAATACCTTAAGCTTTTTTTTAATCTGAAGGGTTTGTCCTTCCCCTCCCTTTTTTATAATCAGCTCTTTATTCCAGAGGGGATCAAGAGTGACTTAAAAAAAAAAATCTGATGGCTGAATGGTGCATCATTTAATTGAGTAAACAGATTTTTTTTTTTTTCCCGTATGCTTCCCACCTGCTCTCCCCCGTCAGTGTAACCCCTGCCCAGCCCCGGTGCCCGGGACTGGCCAGTTATTCCCAGTAGTGTGGGTTTTCTGGGCTGCAGGTGCTCGGGTTGCATTGACCTGGGAGCATCGGGGTAGACCCCTCTGCAGCCCTGAGCTGGGTGGCCCCGAGGGGTGCGGGGTGCTGGGGGGCAGCAGGTGCCCCTCGCCTGGGAAGGGGCGAGCGCACGGGAAGGGGCAAAGGAAAGTCCCCACCGACCACACGGAGCTGCCGGGGGCGGCCACCAGCCACGTGCTGCACTGGTTATAAATACACTTGACAAACATGTATTAAATATATTGCTATTACTAATATAGTAATTAATATATATTTCATACTAAAGATAACAGAAACTATATAAACTATATATTTATGATATATAGAAGAATTACTGGGTATATATATTTGTACATTCATTCATGGGGTATGTGGAGAGAGAGAACGGAAGAACCCGTGCGAGAGCGCGCTGCCTACGCCTGTGTGCAATACAAGTACGTGGTGCAATAGGTTACACATCTAATATGGAGCACATGCTTATGCAATATATTACATTAAAATATTTTATACACCTAGATATGCATATTAAATTATTAAAAAGTAATACACATAAACATGTACAAAGTGTTTACATATAATACACAATATGTAATATATATTTTATAATGTATTGTATACTATATATTATAAAGAATACATGTATGTATACATGCTTTCATATGAGTGTGCCTTTACA